AAATTACAAAAGGATCTCAGTGTGTCCAGTTCTGATGGTAAAGTTACACTGGCACTGCAGTGGAATAACATGAAACTAGTTTCATAATTATTAAGGCTTTGAGGGTGACATTTCTTCAACCTCAGTGACATCCCTTCAACCTCAACATGCTGCCTTTAAGCCGTCTTGACTCACCTATGGCCTGTGTAGCCAGGGACACTTAACAGTGAGTTCCAAAATCATTTTCTCAGGTAGGTTATCCAAAATAGAATCACTTTGTCAGAGTAAAGCCCTTGACATGGTCAAACTGCTTTTCTTCTAGTGCAAAAGGCATCCTTAAAACCTAGTATATACGAAAAGTTTTGAGTCATGATGAAAATTGGTCTAAAAACTGAGATATGACAAGTAAATGATATTGTTATTCTTTTTATTTATTTTTTCTTCCTCCTCCCCTCTCCCTCTGATATTGTGATTCATTTATTAAAGAAATTAAAGAAATGGGAACCTGAGGGGTTAAATTGTAGCAGGAGTTATTGATAACTAATTTTATTAATGATATTAAAAACTTTTCTTTATGCATAACTAAACATGAAGAAGAGATTTTTTATTTTTTTGAGTCAGAGTTTCACTCTGTTGCCTAGGCTGGAGGGTAGTGGCATGCTCATGGTCACTGCAGCCTTGATCTGCTGGGCTCAGGCGATCCTTCCGCCTCAGCCTTCCAAGTAGCTAGCACTACAGATGTGCACCACCACACCCAGCTCATTTTTTTTTTTATTTATTGTAGAGATGAAGTCTCACCAAGTTGCCCAGGTTGGTCTTGAACCCCTGGGCTCAGACAATCCTCTTACCTCAGTCTCCCAGAGTGCTGGGATTACAGGTGTGAGCCACTGCGCCCAGCTAAGAAGTGATTTTTAATATTCAAAGTTACCAGGTCTGGAATTAGTTACTGAAAGAAGTGGGGTCTAGTATTCTGGGGCTAGAAATAGCTGTCCGATAGTTTTGAGACTGTTATTCATTTATTCAGCCAACATTTACTGATGTCCACCCTGTGCTGGCATGGCTGCAGGCTAGGCTGGTTGACTATAGAAAAATAGCCTCTAGAGAACCTGGGGATTCTATATCCAAAGTTTGCTGTATGAATTGATAAGGAAGGGAGTCACCTGACAGTAAATGAGGACCAGTAAAACAAACAATCAAAAATAATCTTTGCCAGGAGAAATGTGTGCTTGGGTAAGAAACAGCTCGCTTGTTGCAAAACACCTGTTTGGCAGTTGTCCAACTATGTGGCATTTTTTTACCTTGAAACTTCTTAGGAAATCGCTTTTTGCCTTGTTTTTATCCTAGGCAAAATGGGGGTGGTACTGTGGGATGATGGTGTGAAAATGAATGAGGTGATATTTTATGATACCTTGAAAATTAATGCCACTGTTTAACTCCCATTATTATATACGATTCATGTATCCCTGTCACTTTGTAAGGAAAATATTTCCTTATTCATTGTCATTTTCGAAAGTGCCTTAGGAAATTGGCTTACAGCTGACTTTCCTTTTTCGCATACCAGGAAATGCAATTTGGAGAGGAGACAAGTTTTCTTTCAAGGCAAGTCTCTCTCTCTCTCTCTCTCTCTCTCTCTCTCTCTCTCTCATGGGAGATGGGAAGGGGTCGAAGTAGAGGTTGGAGACAGAGAGACCATTTTGTTTGGCTACTGCAGTCATTCGTCCCTCAGGAGAGACCAAGGTTGTAGACGGGAGCAGTGGCACTGTGGATGGAGAGAAGCACAATGTTGAGACTTGAAATCCTAGGACTTTGTCGCACACTGTTAGATGGCATGTACAGGAGAGGAAGGAATCAAGCTTGACTGATTCTGGGATCTTCATCTATTTCTGCTTAGGCCATGTCACAACTATACATAAATACATAAAAATATATGGTTCTTATGTGGTTGTTACATTGTTCTGTTCTGGGCAGAGAATGAACAATGTCTGCACCTAGGAGATTAGAGTTAGAATTTGAATGGTGCTTTAAATTTTAAACTCCCTTGGGGAGTGTTATGAACCATTGCATTTCTTCCCAGAAATGAAGTTCCAGAAATGAAGTTCCTACTGCATGTGGAAGATAGGACTGAACAGCGGTAGAGGGAATGAATGGTAACTGTTTGTCCTGAGTGCTCAAGGCCTTTAATCGTAGCCCTTATGATTGAATCTGGAGTAGCAGCACTCACATTTTAGAGTAGATCATTTGTTTGGTGATGGGCCGTGGACAGTGTTTCATGGCCATTTGTTAGAGTGTATTCCTTTCATAGGAGTCAGAAGTTTATGTTTAAAACTACAAGAGGGCATCTGTGGAGACCTGGGCATAGTGGTCAGAGGCCAGTGTTATGGGTTGGGTCAAGTTTTGAATTTTCTATGGCTTTTGGGGCAAGCAAATAAACTGATGTTGTGTGGTGACAGAGGCTTTGAGGGCAAAAAGTGCCACCTTCTGTCAATTTTTACATGATAAGTGGAGGATTCACAGTAAGTTGCTGTGGAATTACTTCAGAGACTTTTAAATGCTTTCAAGGTCAAGGTTAGTTTATTTTGCTCTGCCACGGCACTTCCTTTTCAAGCATACACATTTGCTTTTAGAGGGAAAAAAAAATAACTGGAAGGCTGAGAGGAGGATTGCTTGAACCTGGGAGCTTGAGAGCAGCCTGGGCAACACAGTGAGACCCCATCTCCAAAAAAAATCCCCCCCAAAACAGCCAAATGATCTCTTCTTTTATCTAAAAATATTTTCACAAAATAATTGGAGCCTTTTTGTTTGTATAAAATGCCTAGCATTAAAGTAATTACTTTTATAATAGATGAGAACAAATGGTGGATGTTTGTTTATAAATTTTTCAATTCATTTGGAAATATGTTGTCAAGAGCTATATTAATGGAAGCAAGTTTGTTCATTAGCTTTGCATTTTGATTATATTTAGTGATTTGGAATGCTGACTTTTAGGACAGATAGAACTTAACGTGGGTTTACTTTTCTCCTTTGGTACATTTGACTCTTTTCACTGACTTCTTATTTCAGTCAGTGTCCCTGAAGTAGTAGAGAAAGTAGACGAATTTTTATTTGGCTGGCTTACTTTGTTATGTGTTTCACCTTTTAATCTTGCTTCACATTTTGTGTCTAGAGAATTTTGAATATTTACAAAACTAGACTGAGTGACGTAGTGAACCCTTAGTGCCTTTTGCCTGGCTTCATCAACCAGCAACCCGTGGGTCATTCTCCCTCAGGTGTCCTTCATGTATCCCCTTCTGTTTTCATCTGAAGCAGTTTTCAGACATTGTATCATCTGTGAGGTATTCTTATTTTCAGGTAGAAAGGGTATTACAGTGAGTTGACTCTCTGAATCACCAGGGGCAGGATGGCTGGACATTCAAAATGGACAGGCACTAAGGGTCTGGGACTTGGTGATGAGGCCATTGCTAAGGTATTTTTAATTTCTACAGCTCTTTGTAAGATTTGATAAGTGTCTCCTCTACAGTGTGACACAGACTTTGGGTGTTGTCTCTGAAATTATTATTTGGCACTCTGCTATCTTTCAAAAAACATATGGAGATAACTTCAAATGTATACATATATACAAGGGGGTACCCCAAACAACCCAGAATTTATTTATAAAAAATGGTGTATTTATTCTTACATATTTGAGCTTTAGTCACTGTCAAAGTACTCTTCCTTTGATGCAATACACCTATCCAGATGCTTTTTCCACTGCTGAAAACAGTTTTTGAACTCGTCCGTTTTGATGTCTTCTACTGTTTTTTGTTTCACCTCTTCCATATTGGCTAAACGTTTCCCTTGGAGGACTTTTTTCGAAAAAAAATTCAGAGAAACAGGAAAAAGTTGTTTGGGGCGTGATTGGGCGAATAGGAAGGGTAGGGCATGGGGGGCATGCCAGTTTTGGCCAAAACTGCTGAACACTCAGCACAGTGTGGGCAGGTTGTTTGTATAAATCACCCATCATGAAATGGGCAAACATGTTGAGAGACTCTCCAGAAAAAAATTAACCGAAGCTGAATGTAGCCTCTCAAAACAACGCTAGCTGGTACAGTAATGCTGATAGGTTCCTAGAACACTTACCTAGTGGGAGAAACCTGTACTGCTAGGGGCCTGTCCGCCAAAAATTAATTCCGGATTTTTGGAGTCCCCCTTATAAAAGGATTTTCAAAAAAAGGAAGAAATCAGTGGGAAGAGTGAATGAGGGTCATCTTGAAGTATGAAACCAACTATAGTAAATACAGGAAAAAGCATGATACAAGGTTTTGTGATAATGATCAAAGGTATACTGCTGAATTTTCTAGTGGCCAAAGTTAGCATAAAACACAATCAGTGTTATATTATCCTCTTGCTTTCTTAAGCATATCTTTTTCTATCACTGACAAGAAATTTCCCTCACGAGATCTTCTAGAAGGGGCCATTTGGGGCAGCTGTTGTTGGTAGTGGTATAACTTGGTCTCTGAGCTGATGCCTCTCAGGGCAGCTCAGAGCACTTTTTTCATGTTTTTGGGATTTGCAGATATAATACCAGCAGTAGTTGTAATTTATTGAACACTTATTATGGATTAGGCATTGTGTCAGGTGATTTTGTTTTACTTAATCTTAAATATATTTCTGCTCCATAGATAATGTTTTTCTCCCTTTTCAGGTGAAGACGTTGAGATTTAGGGAAAATAAGTAACTTGCAAAAACTAGGCAGCCGTCTGTATTCAGATTGCTGAAAGTGTTTAATACCTAGATAAGTGCACTGTTGATTTGTGTTTTTTGGTGTATGTATTTGTCTATATGGTTACTTGAAAAAAAAAAGAATCCTGACATATCTTCAGATCACTGTCTAATTGGTAATGTGATCACTGTGGAGAGGACAGGGTTGCGGGCCATAGTTCACAATGGACCTTTTTGTTGACTCTAGGTGTTCATGATTGTTGTAATGTCATTTTCCTTGCATGTTGCCAATTCTGGATTTCATTCTTTTTGTTTTAATGCAGAGAGAAAAGGAACAGCAGGAAGATAACACTGGTTTGTTCAGGAACTCAGGGAGAAATGAAGATGGTGAAAGAAGAGCTATGATAACTCCTGCTCTCCGAGAAGCCCTTACTAAACAAGGTGAAAATCCTTGAGAATTATTGTTATATTGTTACACTCTTAGCTATTCTAATTTAATATCTAAGAGAGGAGGTATAAAGTCAGGATTACCAAGGGGAAAGATGATAATGAAGTCTTTCTCTACAATGAAGTCTCTCTCTAGTTAGTTCAGCAGCTGTGTTGCAGTGGCAGATGTAACTGTCTAAGGATTCATCCTCTCATTTCTGTGGGTCACTTGTGTTGGCTCCTGGACCAGCAAATTTTCCTTTTCGCTTAACTTATTGGGATACATTACTCAGTGTGGCTCAAGCATGTGGACAGAAAATGTCTATTAGTGACTTCTTTACAAATCACGGTTTATTAAGGAAAGACGATTAAATGCAGAAAAAACTTATATGATGCTGGATTAATTAGAAGTATTTTGTGTAGAAGTGTTATACCTGAATTTTATAGTTGTACCTTATTAAAGAGGCTACAGTTGAATAAATGAATGATAATAATAGTTTCCTATAAAAGACAGAGTAGTGAACGAGGCGTCAGTAGAATGACCACCTTTCCTCCCTTTTCCTCCCCCTACCCCGTCTATATTTTTGGAAAACCTTTCATGAGACAGTTCCTACAATGCAGAGGAACATAGGGTCCAGTATCTCCTTCGGGGAACCATCAGTCTGGTAGAGGGAACACACAAATAGACTATATTAAAGCAATTTCGTTATAGATTTAAATGTATCATCTTGCAATTTGTTTTCCACTTATCGCGTCTGTTTTTGGATTTACTTTTTCCTGTTTTTCCGTCTTCTTCTAGATTAATTGACTTTTTAAATAACTCTGTATCTTCATTGACCTATTAGCTTTAACACTTTTGTTATTTAGTGGTTGCTTGAAGTTTTATAATATCATAGTATATCTTTGAGTGCTATTATGCCACTTCACGTATAGTAGAGCCTTACAATAGTATACTTTTATTTTTCCCTTCTTAACCTTTATGCAATTATATTTTACTTTTATATGTTAACAAAGCTTACGTTGTTATTATTTTTGTTTAAATAATCAATTACTATTAAAGATTTGCATAATTAGAAAGACTCTTACGTATTTACTCATGTAGTTACTACATTTTATGTCCTTAAGTCCTTTGTATAAATCTGTGTTCCATCTGCTATCCTTTTCCTTCTGCCTGAAGGACTTCTTTTTAACATTTCTTGTAGTATTTGTTGGTTGGTGATTAATTCTTTCAGCTTTTGTATATGACTTTATTTTGCCTCCATTTTTGAAGAACATTATTTGCTGTGTATAGAATTGTAGGTTGGCATCACTTTTCTTTCAGCACATTAAAAGATGTTGCTCTACTCACTGTTCTGCTCGCATTGCTTCTGATAGTCAGTCATCCTTTTATATATATATATATATATATATATATATATATATATATATATATATATACATAGCCACACACATGTTTATGAGTATGTATACAAAAATACACAGCACCTAGTAAGGTAAATTAGGTCTGGTATTCAATTAAAGATTACCCAGCGTGCAAAAATGTAGAAAAACATGACCAATGAGGAAAATAATCTATCAATCAAAGCTGACCCAGTAATAATACAGACATTAGCTGATAAGGTTATTAAAAAGGCTGGGCAAAGCTGCTGGGCTCAGGCGATCCTTCTGCCTCAGCCATCCAAGTAGCCACGACTACAGGTGTGCGCTATCACACCTGGCTAAATTTGATTTGCTGTAGACACAAGGTCTTGCCAAGTGCTGGCACTATAGGTTAAGCCACTGAACCCGGCAGGGTATTTTTTTTTTTTTGAGTTGGAGTCTCACTCTGTCGCCCAGACTGGAGTGCAGTGGCCACTCCCGGCCACTGCAGCCTCGACCTGCTGGGCTCCAGCAATCCTTCTGCCTCAGCCTTCCAAGTAACTGGAACTATAGGCATGCGCTACCACGCCCAGCTAATTTTTTGATTTATTGTAGAGATGAGGTCTTGCCTGCCCAGGCGGGTCTCGAACCCTCAGACTCAGGCAATTCACTCACCTCAGCCTCCCAAAGGCGCAGGATTACAGGCTGAGCCACCGAGCCCAGCTAGGGTATATTTTTTTAATAACTTTTTTTTTGAGTCAAGGTCTCACTCTGTTGCCCAGGCTGGAAGTGTAGTGGCATGATCACGGCTCACTGCAACCTCAACCTCCTGGGCTCAGACAATCCTCCAGCCTCAGCCTCCCTAGTAGCTGGGGCTCCAGGTGTGTGTCACCACACCCAGATAATTTTTTGTGGAGTCAGAATTTCACTATGTTGTCTAGGCTGGTCTTGAACTCCTGGGCTCAAGCAATTCTCCCACATTGGCCTCCCAAAGTGCTGGAAGTACAGGTGTGAGCAGCGTTGCCCAACCTTTTTAAATAACTTTATCAGCTAATATCTGTATTATTACTGGGTCAGCTTTGATTGATGGAATATTTTCCTCATTGGTTGTGTTTTCCTACATTTTTGCATGCTGGGTAATCTTTAATTGAATACCAGACCTAATTTTACCTTACTAGGTGCTGTATATTTTTGTATATATACTCATAAACATTTTTGGGTTTTTTTCTGGGACAAAGATAAGTTACTTGGAAATAGTTGGAACTTGGAGTCTTACTTTTATGACTTGTTAGATGAGACCAGAGCCAGGTAAAGATAGATTAAATTATTCCTCACTATTGAGGTGAAAGACTTATGTGCACTCTACTCAATTCCTTTTGCAGCTCGAGGTTTCCAGTCTGTTAGGCACAGGTATAATTGTAAGCTTGCTATGAGCATCAGGCATACCTCTGATTCTTTCATATGATTCTTTCCCTTGGCTAGTTTTTCTCCATAATTTATGCACTAATCAGTACTCAGGCAAATACTTGTTAGACATTCTCTATAGACTCTTGGTTCCCTCTCTCTGTGCCTTTCCTCTCTCTGGTATTCAATCCTGCAAACTGTAGCCACCTTTGTCTTCCCAGGCTCAGCTCCATCTTCTCAACTCAGGGAATCTGTTGGACTTTGCTTAGGTTGCCTGTCTTTGCTACATGGCCTTAAAATTTTCTCAACAGTAAGCTGGGGTAGTGTCAGAGCTCACCTTATTTGCTTCCCATCTCTTTGGGATCACTGTCTTTTGATGCCTGATGTTTCATGCTCTGAATAATGTCATTTCATATATTTTGTCCATTTTTTGATATTTTAGGTAGTATAGTAAATCCTCTCTGTTACTCCATCTTGGCTAGAATCAGAATTCTGCACTGTGATTTTTAGCAACTGCATACTGTTGGCTTATCTTTGGGATATAGTCAACTACAGGTCTCTCCATCTTGTAATGTACAGTTTTTTCATACCTGAGTGTAAAATTATATAGAAACCAGGAACCTATATATGTTGGGAGAGAAAGATATAAATATTTGTATAACAAAACATGATTTCTATGATAGTGGTCTGAACAACATACAACATAAACATAATATAAGAATCCAAGAGAAGAACTAGGATTTTCTCTGGGAATCTTTTATATCCTTATTCTTTATCAGAGATTAGTAATTCAGTTGAACTCAGTTCCATCTTCAAGTAGATAAGCAGTGCTTTGTTTATTTATATGCAAGATGTTTACATAAATGTGGAAGAGGGTAAAAGATAAAGCCCTGTAAATGTTACCACTAGAGACTTGTAATCCAAATTGACATTGTTCTAATAATTGTCACACTGTGAATATGGATGTTTAACCAGCCACTGATCCACTTATGCCATCATCCAGACTGTATTTCTCCATTTGCCTCATTTGCCTGCAAGAGGCTTTTTGTGCAAGAGACTCATGATAATTGTGGCTCATTGATTGAAGCCTCATGAGAAACTTCATTGAATGCTTTTTGAAATCAGAATGTTCTACTGTTTGCTTTGCTAGTTTGTTTCAAAAAGAAATGAGATTACTTTGGCATAGCTTTTCCCTTGCTTTTCATGTCTTATATGGTGCAGAAAATTTAAATGACAGGTTGTGGAGTGGTACTGAGAACTCATATTAGGTTATAATTCCTAGAATTTAATTTTTCCCCTTTTTGGGTCAACATTTCTTCGTTTTAATCTCCTTTTGCCCATCTGATTCTTTATCTTTTTTCAAAAATTACTGATGATAGTTCCCCAGACATTCATTTGAAATATGTTGTTACTTTTGCTTTATGGCCCAAGATATGGTTCATTTTTATAAATGTTCCACTGGTCCTTGAAAATAATGTGTATTCTGTAGTTGTTGATTGCGGTACTGTCTATGTGTTCTTGGTCAGGTTTATTTATTATGTTGCTCAGATCATTTAGAGTTTTCCTGAGTTTTTCCTATGAGATCTGTTGGATTCTGAGAGGTTAAAATTTGCCCATATGATTTTGAATTAATTTATTGTTTCCTTTTATATTTTGAGTCAATGTTATTAGATGCATATATTTCATAAATTGTTTTCTCATTGTGTTGAATTCAACCTTCAATGTTTTCCACTAGGTGGTTGTTGACTGTTATACTTTAAGCAAAGAAAAGTGATTTTCCTAAATTTTCATATCACCTTTTAATATGAGACTTTGGATCAGTTCATTTTTGTGTTTCCTGCTCTTTCATTCAGGTTATCAGTTGATTGGGAGCCACTCTGGAGTGAAGCTGTGCAGGTGGACAAAGGTATTATTTGTTTTTATTCAGATGTTATTTCTATTATATGCAGTTTTTATATGGATTTTACATAGTTAATACATTTACCATTTTAAGGTACAGTCTACTTTTAATAAAATGCATTGATTTTTTAAATGATTTTTAAAATGTGTTCAGCTAATTCTGAAGGATGTAGAACCCATATTCACCAACCCCAATTAAGATATAAGCTAGTTTCTTCACCCCAATGGATTTACTTTTGCCCATTTCTAGTCCTTCCCCTAGCAAATTATTGTTATAATTGCTACCATTATTTAATTTTGCCTCTCTAGAATTTTATATGAATGGACTCATATAATGTACAGTCTTTTGTAAGTGACTTCTTAAACTCAACATAATATTTCTGAGATGCATCTATGTTGTATCATGTATCAGTAATTCATTCACTTTTATTGCCCAGTAGCATTGTGTTATATGGTCATACCAGTTTGATCTATTCATAGACATTTGGTCTGTTTTTAGTTTTTTGCTAGCTAGTATGAATAAAACTACTATGAACATTCTTTCACAAGACTTTTTGTGAATGTATATGATTTCAGTTTCCTTGGGTAAATACATAAAGTGGAATTGTGGGGTCATAGGGCAGGTATATATTTAACATTGTAAGAAACTCAAATTGTTTTCAATGTGGTTGTACTATTTTATACTTGTATTAGCTATATATGAAAGTTCTATTTGCCACACATTGTCACCATCATGTGGTATTTATTATCTTAATTTTAGGCACTTTAATGGGTGTGAAGTGGTATCTCATTGTGGTTTTCATTTACATTTTGCTGGTGATTGTTTAATAAGAGCATCTTTTTATGTGCATATGGGCAGTTCATAATTAGGAAATGTCTGTTTCATCTTTTGTCCAAATTGAATTGTTTGGCTTTATACTATTGGTTTCTAGAAGTTTAAAAATATATTATATGAATATATATGTATTATATATTATTTATGATATATAAATACACACACACATATGAATCTTTTGTCAGATGTGCTTTGTGACTATTTCTTTAGTCTGTGGCTTCCCTTTTTATTTCCATAATGGTATTTTTTGAAAATTTTAATTTGTATATAGTCCAGTATGTCATTTTTTTTATAGTTAGTGCTTTTTGTATTTTAAGAAATCTTTGCCAAGCCCATATTCTGAATTTTCTGCTAGAAGCATCAAATGTAGTTTTAACTTTTAAGTTTAGGTCGGTGATTCATGTTGAATTATTTTTTATGAATGGTGTGAATTAAGGGTCAAGGTTCATCTCATCTCCCCTAGTATGGATATCCAGTTGTTTTGGCACCATCTGTTGATGTCTTTTGCCAATCTAAATAGCAAACAGAGAGAGGTTCTCTAAAAGAAAATGATATATGAGAATATTTGGAATGGAGCACTGCAATGGAAATGCACTTGCCACAGTAAACTCTGCATATTCAGTGTGGTAAGGGAAGAAAACAGCTTTTAAAGGAAAAAATGAGGGGAATTACGTATTTGTTTTAAAGTAATAATATCCTTAGCTACAAAGATCCATAAAGTAGGTGATGCCAGTACAAGGTTAGACAGACAGCTGCTGGGCTGAGAAGTTTTTGCAGGTAAGTATTTTTTTTTAATAAGGTTGTGGTTTTGTAGAATATTTTTCATTATCAGACATAGGAGTGTGAGAACCCTCTCTTCATGGCCTTTTGCACCTCTGTTTGTCAGGATTTTCGTAGCACCATTAAGAAAGTGACTCCATTTTGATTTTGACAACTTTCTCATTTCTCTCTTTTGAACGAGATCTTTCTCCAAAAGGACCACTGGTCAATCATCCTGTAGTTAAGTTTCAATGTTGCTTGGTACCTAAATGGATTTATCCTAGTTGCTGGTCTTGTCCCACGTTGAAGGTAGTGGTTGGTGTCCAGGAGCCAGTGTTAATTCCCTTTTGGAGAGCTTGAAGAGAGCAGATCTCAGACTTGAGCCTACCTGGCGTCTATTATTAAGTTCAATTTTGTCCTGTAATTTTTTGTTATCATGTCAAAGTGCTGGGACAGCATTATTTTGTTAGGAGTTGTACTTCTACAAAAATTTACAGGTAAGAGATACAAAGTTTAAAAAGACAAAATATAAAGTAAACTGTATAATAAATGATAATCTCAGTTTGCCTAATAGTTTTGAGTCATGAACCTATGCTTAAAGACAACCAATTGAATAAATCGAATGACCTTGGGGAATTAGGTAAGACCTGTTAAAACCTTGTGACCTATTTTCTTATTATGTGTATATGGGTCTCAACTTCCCCAAAGAAATTTATCCAGGTAGAGCATGTAGTATTAGAAGATGCACTGACATTTTCTTATGTAAGCAATGGACACTAGAGGACTACGTAGGTCAGGTTTTTTGAAGTTAGCAACAGAAGCTATTGGCTCTGAAATTTTAATTATACCATTATCCTTACAAGTTAAAAAGATAGCATTAAGGAGGGTAAAAGTCTTTAGATTGAGAGTCTTGTTCTAATCTCTTGGGAAAAGCTGTTTACAGTATGAAAACATCAACTTTTCCTCCTGGTTTGTAGTTTGAATATCTTTGGTCATGACATTGGTCATGACATTTTTGTGTTGTCCATATATCAGGCACAAAGCTTGTTCCTTAAAATTTATCTAGTTTCAGTTTATAGGGCTTTAGGAATAGAAACGCTTTTGTTTTAAGTTGGTGAGTTATAGCCAAATATTGGAGGAACTTAGGATAATTCAGGATCTCTTCCAGTCTACAAGGAGATAAACAAGAACTTGAAAATAATGCACAGGGCTGCAATTTAGTAACAGATGTATTACAGTTTTTCTTTAGAAATATAACTTTTTCTCTAGATTGATCACATAGGAGTTTCAGATTTAAAAACCTCTTGTGGCTAGGAAGCCCTACCAGGGCAGACTTAAGAGTTTATTTAGTCTTAAGTTTCTTGGTCCTGCCAGGAAATGACAGTTTTTACTGACTCACTGTAAGGTTAGGAACTCTGGATCCAGGCATTTTATGTACGTTATGAAATAAGACATTTTAGTCAAACCCTTGGTAATATAGCCCATGTTTCCAATAATATCCTGCTTATAAATAGCAGAATTTTATTGAAATTATGTAAACAAAAATAAGAATATTCACATGGTTTTTGAATTTTGGAAGAATCAAGTACCGAGACAAAGCAAATGATTCCATCTTTGTTCACAAAAATATACTTTATCAAGCTATTATAAACGATAGATAGCTTATGAGAAAAAAAATTCCTTAAAATCTGTAAAACAAAACATCTAAGTAAAGAGCCAAAAATGAAAACTCATGAAAACATTATCTTCATCAATTATTTAATCTCATGTAATTGATTTCTTGTTTTGCTTGATCTTGATTGGCAGTTTTATGAATCAGATGTGCTACCATTGTATTATGAGTTCACCATTAGCAGTTTTATGAACCTATTAGTTTCTTTCTTAGAGTTCTGAAAAATTTTACTCAGTTCATAGATCTTAAAATCATCAGACATATATGTTCAAGAGTACTAATTAGAGTTTTTTTCCATGAAAACCAGTTTTGGGCTGTAGTTGATTGCAGATATTTTTAGAGAAGACTTCAGAACAGTAAATGTGCATGACAAAAAAACTTAGAATTGCCATAGTTAAGATCTGATGAAAGTTCTCAAGGAATTTAGTTATTACTATTATGTGCAGCATTTTAAGATAACCACCTGAATCATGACAACGAACAGCATCACGTTAGGATCACCAGACTTTTGTAAATTTCATATAATCTTTAGGATAGTCACATTACTAATATAATCATACAGCTGTAACTTTAGAAAAGATTTAATATAACAATCAAAATTATAACTAGTAACATATGGATTTTTATATATTTATATAATTTTTAGCACATTTATATTAATAACATACCCATAAATATAACTAAAAGAAGATTTAATGTGACTTATCATTTGACAGTGCTTCTATACAATTTTCCAAATAAGTCTAGTCACTTAATATCACTACAAAGATGCAACATACATTCTTTGAGGCTTTCCAGGGACCTGTTGGAAAATCTCAAACTTAATTTTATGTCAAAAACACTGAAGGATTTTGATCCTGGGGAAACCTGCTGAAGATGTCAAAAGGTTCAAAACACTTGATCAAAACAGAATCATAAATATTATTAAAATAATAGTTGTTCATTTAGTCAGAGTGATAATCAAAAGACTTCAGAAGCAATGCAAAAACTACATGGGTGTAAAATCCTTAACCCTTTTAACGTTCAGTTTTTCTCAAGTAATCAAAAGCCAGTTGGGTGCAGTGGATCACACTTATAATCCCAGCACGTTGGGAGGCTGAGGCAAGAGGATTGCCTGAGCTCGGGTGTGAGACCAACTTGGGCAACTTGGTGAGACCTGGTCTCTACAGTAAAAAAAAAAAAAAATTAGCTGGGCATGGTGGCATGTGCTTGTAATTCCATCTACTCAGAAGACTGAGGCAGAAGGATCACCTGAGCCCAACAGATCGGGGCTGCAGTGGCCATGAGCATGCCACTGCACTCTAACCTGGCGTCAGATCCATCACAAAACAAAACAAAATAAAACAAACCCCTAATGAAGACAGCATAGCAGATTATCTTGATTGATTTATTTATTTTTAAGATCTGTTACCAAAAAAGTAAAGAAAAATGTTTTGTGCTGTGATTGCTTTTTCTTATGGGAACCCAGTTTAGATAACCTGGAAGTCAATTCTGATGAAAAGGGTAATTTAATTTAATCAGATACAGGAAAAGTGTATCCAGGGCACACTATGTTATAGAGTAATATAAATAAGAAAGCTAGTACCTGAGCTGGGGAATACATGGTATTCCACGTATTCTTCTAAAAGCATGGTAAATTTCCTTGTTACGTGGAAAAGTTGAGACATATCAAGAAAAGCCAAGAGTATAGAATTAAATTATGCCGGAGGAAAACATTGCTTTTCTAGGTCTTTAAGATAAA